ATTATATGATCGTTATATACACTATGAGTTTATATCCGGCGCTCAATGAAGCATTTGAAAAGATGGAAACTGTTGATGGATTTCGATTACATCAAATAAGCGACATAAAACATCGAATAGAGAAGGATAGGGAGTTGAGACTTGGATTGTATAAAAGGTATCGCAGAGCCGTGAATGCTCTGGACGGAGTTGACACCGCTCTTGTAGTATCTTGCATGGGACTCGGTGTAGCGGGTATCGGTTTACTATCAACTATAATCGCCGCGCCTATCGTGCTCGGCATGGAAATAACCGCTGGAGTCTCGGGACTGGCAGGAATAGCGATAAAATTCATTTCTCGTAGGTTACAAAAGAAAGCATTAAAACACGATAGTATTCGGATACTCGCCGAAGCAAAGTTGAACAGCATTGAGGATCATATTTCGACAGCAATGGCCGATTGTAAGATATCCGAGGATGAGTTTCGTTTAGTGCTGTCGGAGCTCAACAAATACAATAAAATGAAGCAGGAGATTCGATCAAAATCTCGTAAGACCAGTGGTATTAGCGAAGACGAGAAAAAAAAGTTCATAGAAGAGGGGAGGCAACAAGCGCGTCAATTATTCCGTGCCAAAACCAAAGAACTGGTTGGAGATTAAAAATAGATTGTATACTATCGTGTGATTACATTTAGACAAATGCTAACATAAATATGTAATAATGGAGAAAGCTATTCAATGGAAAGAATTACCACAAGGTTTTTATTATATCAGTGATGCCAAACCAACCAAATACGGTTATCAATTGTTTCTTATCAATTTACAAAAAGAGTGTAGTTATATAGTCTGGTCTCCTAGTAAAATGAACGAAGAACTTAATAAAAATGTTGAATATCGCTTTATCGATAAAAATAATAAAGAATATTTTTATTACCATTTAGACTCATCTAAAGCAATGATTGGCCCCAGGTATTGGTAGTGGTCCAGAACCATCATTACCTATAAAAATTTATATCATTGACTCCACCTGGAGCCAATTTAACTTAATCTTATGACTATCATTAAATCGCATCATCATTTTGGCATAAAAAATTCCTCCTGTAGTAGCAGTATAGGTATATGAATCCTACTCCAGTGGAGTTGCGGCAGAACCCCCATTACCTATACTACTGATGAATATACAGGTGATGAGTTAATATATCAGTAAGTCACATTTGTGTCATACAAGTTTGACCTTATTTTGATGGGACTAGAGTCACACATTCTCTTCCTTTTGAAAGGTCATGTTTAAAAAAAACTTCATTCGTAAAATCATCCCAAGACTTCTTTGTTATTTTGTGAATGAAAACCACGACTGTCCTTCCATCCATTTTGTTTGTCAATGATTCCTGTGAATCCTTAACCTACATTACATCATAGCCTGTATTTTGCCTGCAGACACGCTATTACTAAATCTTCAGATTTTCAACAGAAGTTCTCTTCACTGTCAACTACACACTAGTTCTTCCCCTAATAGCACATGTAGCTCTTTAGCTCTTCTGTGACAAAAGGCAGAAAAAACGTCATTTCTTTCCTCTGTGTGCTAGAGTCAACACCTATCATCTAGCACCTGGTATAAGGTAGTGACACTGTTTTATTAATTTCTTCAGAAATATTATTTTACGATCTGGCTGGATTACATGAGTATACTAGGGTTTGTTTTTGTGTATTTCTCACGATGGCGTCTTCCTCTTCCCTGCTGACATTCCAGAAGTGTGGCTAGTTCAGGATAACTGGAGATCCCCATAACTTCTGTTAGAAGTGTAGGGAGACTTCATGCTTGGCAGAGGCGAGATGTAACTTTGGTTTTCTCCTGTCCATGTCCGTTGTCTTATCTTGGTTTCCTTATCCATCCAACCAAGTCAGCAATTTATCCGGTACAAGACATCGGGGCCAGATTTCTTCTATCTACAGGTATCTTTGCCCCCCAGAGGACCAGTTCAACAAGTCCATAGCCATGATCAACTCAGTCCGAGACCAACCTACTAGATGGATCAGATGGTGGATGTCTTTCATGGGGACGCTGTCCTCTCTACAAGATATGACTCACAGAGGGCGATTACAATTTAGCCCGCTACAGATTTGATCAACTCCCTATGATCCCAGACCCTGGATACACGGATACTCATACCTCTCCACCTCAGCCAAGATCTATCTAACCTGGTGCACTCGACGAGATCATGTGATGACGGGATTCCACTCACACTACCAGCTCCAGAACATCACATGTTCTCAGACGTGTTAGATTCAGGTTGGGAAGCTCCCATGGACGACCTCCAAGTTCAGGGTTTATGGACCAAAACGGAAAAACCTCTACACATAAACTGCAGAGAGATAAAAGCAATTTGTTATGTGCTCCAGACTTGGAAAGATTGCCTCATCAAATCATCCGTCCTCATTGCCACAGACAACACGACAGTGGTGGCCTACATTGAGCAAGGTGGAACCAAGTCCAGTTCGTTGATGACTGAAACCACTCACCTATTTGCCTTGGCCAACTCATTCAGCTGCCAGATGGAAGTGAGACATATTCCAGGAAAACTGAACATACAAGCAGACAGACTATCCCCGAGGCCTCTGCTCCATTATTTTTAAGGGATGGAGAGTTACTCTGACATTCCCCTCTACTTACATCATAGCCAGAATATACCAGAGGGATAAGGTGGGATCTGCCTCATCCCTACTTTTTCACTTTGTCAAAATATTCTGTCGTGGAAAATATTTGAAAAATAAACCTGAACTCTTTGTAGACTGTATTTATACTGTGTGAGTCTCCCTTGCATGATGCACGAAGAATACGTTCTCTGCCGCTGTTGCACGTGCACCAAGCTTTGTTGCGAGCTTAGATTTCCAATGCATGGTACAAGGGTCTTCATAATTTTGTTGGGTCCTAAACTAGTATTTATCAATCGCTTGCACATTGTCAATACATGCTGACAGGAATAATAGGAAACATAGAGCCCCGAACAAGGATATACAGTAGAACATGGATATAACGAACTACAAGGGACCAGAGAAATCAGTTCGTTATATCCGTTGTTCGTTATACACATTTTCGTTTGGAAAAGTCCGCCATATTTGATAAGACAAAACACAATACACATAATTGCAGTGTTACACATGAAATCTTCATGGCCTAATTTCACTGCAAGTTCGTCAGCTTTGGTCTGCAGTAACGAACCACTAAGCGGAAAGTTTTCGCTTCTCACGGCTTGAAACCATTTGAAGAGGTCCTCCTCTACGTGTTGGTGATTGGCAGCTCGTAACCACTTCCGGGCGGGGCCAAAGTCGGTTGAGTCGCAGGATTCAAGAATGGATTCTCTCTTCTTCATAATGGTACTTAATGTTGATTTTGGAATGTCAAATTCCATTGCAATGTATTTCTTGGTTTTTATGCCAGCATCAACCGCATTAATAATTATCAATTTCGTGTGCATGTACAGGTAAGGTGAACACAATGCAAATTTAACAAGGTTGATCTGTCACCGCTGATTGTATTAATTCGCCTCCATTGTGTTGATTCGCCGCTGATTGCGTACAGCCAATTGTCAGTGACACTTTACACTGAGTGAGATTTCTCAGATCGCTATACATGTCACTAATTAGTGATAGATGGGCTTGTTGGTGATCAGATATCAGTTCGCTGTATCCGTTAGTTCGCTGTAGAGAGTTTGTTATACACGTAAATTGTATATGATATTATAAATCGGGGATTTTTTAACAGTTCGTTGTATCCGTTTGTTCGCTATATACATGTTCGTTATATCCGTGTTCTACTGTATATATTACCTGATTTGTATTTTCTCGTCAAAGGTTTATCTAATTGCTATAAATATAAACATTGTTGTAGGTAACCTGCTCTAACACTAAATATATACATATTATTTTGATCTTTTAAGCATTATGCAAAATATTTAATATTTAATTTCACACCATACCTTCATGTGCCGCCATAGCTGAGGTTGACAATTACACATACTCAAATTAAACGATTTCGAAGCCTGCTGGAGACACATGTTTTCAAAAAAAAAGAAGAAATTATTCACTTGTCAATAAGTGTAAAAAATAGTTCCAGGTGGAAATTAATTCAAATATTTGTTCAAGATAATGTATAGTTGACAAACAACTCTCCATTCCTGAAAAATAATGGAGCGTTCAAACAATAGAGTGACGTCACAGATGTGTTTTAATAGAGGTTAAGGATTTGCAGGGATTTTGAAACAATATTTATCATTGTTAATAGTTCAAAGAATACTACCTCTATTACATCAGGAAGTACTCCCAGCCACCTCCCCAATTCATCTGCCTCCAGTGGAGATGTTTTGGAAACAAGTGACATTTTTCACTCTTTTTTGCACAGAAGAGCTGAAGAGCTACATGTGCTATTAGGGAAGAACTAGTTGTGTGTAGTTGACAGTGAAGAGGACTTCTGTTGAAAATCTGAAGATTTAGTAATATAGTGTCTGCAGCCAAAATACAGGATTTATGGCTATGATGTAATAGAGTTAGTATTCTTAGAACTATTTACAATAATAACTATTGTTTGATAAGTCTGTATTCTATGTGTCCCAAATTATTTTCTGCTGCAAATTCGAAACTATAAGGGCCACGTTTATGAAACTTGGTATACATATTCATAATTCAACTGTTAATTACAATCAAGTTGTCTGTTTTTGTCCATGTTTTTGGTGTATATGTAGACTTTTAATTTCAAGTGCATAGATAAGACCCCAACTCATCGGTCTGAAGAAAAAGAGTAAATACTTAAAAACTAAATCATTTCAAAGGCAAGTTCAACTATTTTTCTTGTACATTTTCAAAAAAAAAGTATTTACCTTCTTGTTGTTTCATATCCAAAAGAAATACAAATGTCACTACTAACATACTTATTTTTTGTATTAAGTTGATTAATATTTTTCACATTTACTGAGAGTTCTAATTCCATAATAAACATTCTGTTTATTTTATTGATATCTTTTTCAGGAATGTTGCATTCTTTGCTGGGTCAGTCTTGGCAGTTTTGGCGTTGCTGACTGTTATTGATGAAGATGTCCTAAGTGTGGAGCATATCCTTACCACCATGACAGTAGCAGGTATGTATAAAATATATCTGTACTGAGTGATGACGTAGATAAGTATACACCTTTGTTGATGCTGACAGGACAAGGGATATATTTTCATAAATGATGATCTTGGGGATGGATGCTGATTGCTGAAAGGTGTGTAAACTAACAAGCAGTAGATATAATAAATGCACTGACAAATAATCAGCAACCGTCCCCTACATGACACAAGACTTGACAATGAAACATTGTAGAAACTGATGAACTTGTATACGTATGATGTTTGTGTGCCTCCCTAACAGCCATATTGAAATATTTGATATGCAGTATGTGATATGTGAAATTTAAAATGCATGTATACTTGGACCTCGTGGTACTGTGGCATTCATCGTATCATGGTATTTGAGATTTCACGTAGTTCATGCGGGACACGCCTCTTAGGGGCTGTCTATTAATGCAAATCAGGAACCAGGAACCAGGAAGTGCTTGCTTCCTAAACAATTTCAATTTCTTCAGAATGTTGTGTCTGCTGTAAGTAAGGATTTATTAACGTGTTGTTACTTACTTCTGGCATCTTTTTTAATATTGCCTTACACCCATCTATCAATGGCCAACGATATTACCCGGAATTCCCCAGGTAAGCTTTCTCTATCGACCTGAACTAGATCATCTGCATATTCATGGTGACTGATAAGGTAAGGGAAGTCTTGTAGTCCGCACATTTTCCCCCCGCTCTGTGGCAGAATCTATTAGGAGAACATAAGGGCCATAATGCCATACTTAGAAATACATTCTTCACTGGTAGCTAAAAGATAAATACATACTTTGGGCGTGCTAGAGTGTTTTTTTATATATTTATTGTTGACTTTTAATTATTTCCCATTTTTTTACAAATTATTGTCAACCAATCTTTGTAAGAACAATTGTAAATTTTTTATAATATTTTTCTCCTACTTTTCGGTAAATATGCATTGGATGCCCATTACACATTCAGAAATTTACTCGGACAAATCACTGAAGTCTGGCATCATCAAACTAGTGGTTGGTAGAATTATGTCCTGTTATTGTCCAATTGGGGCCTTCATACACAACTTTTTCCTGTACCGCGATACAATGGAGTTCTCTCCCTTGTCAAACAAAGCGCAAGGCCCTGCTTTTACTCAGCACTATTAATGTAAATCAGTAAAATATGGACATTTAGATTAAATAAATGACATCTGATATAGAGAACACTAATATTCATAAATGTTAGTGAGTGCATTTTGTTCCATTTAGCGTACATAACAAGTACCGCGATACCCCGAGGTTGCAGGGCACTACTAATAAAACATCAAATATTTTGAAAACAAATATGTAACTAATTATTAATAAATAGTTTTATTCTATTGTTCTGCTCACATAAGTGTTTCGACTATCACCTGAATACACTGTGTTTGCGACAGAAACAATTCATTTTGTAAAGAAACAGCATAAGCCTAAACGTGAGAGACCCCTGAATCTGACATTTGATGCAAATGCTACACACACACTACTTGCTGTAAAAGTGCATGGGTCTGGAGGTTTTTTTTATCTCATACACAAAGAGCAGGGAATGCTATGCCTAGACTTTCTGAGGTTCAACAAGACAATGTCATTGGCCATTTGGAGGCTAGTGACTCTCAGTTGACCATAGAAAGGCTACTGAATGTTTTACAGAGGACTCTGTCCAAATCATCATGGATAGCATTAATACTGAAAGCATTTTCAGTGAGGAAATGAAATTTCTCTTTCAACGTCCAGATGTCAGAGCACAGGTACGATACGGCAACATTTGGACAGATTTGGTGATGGCAATGTTATGATATGGGGGACCATCTCTTACACTTGAAGAACAGCCCTTGTGCTGGTCCCAGGCAACTTAATAGCTGCTTTTTACCGCAACAAGATCCTTCAGTCACACATCATTCCATTCATGAACCAACATAACATCATTTTTCAACATGAACACAACTAATTTTCTAGCTTAAAACAACATTCCTATTCCTCAGTTGTCATCCTAATCACGATCACCAGATTTAAAAACTAATTGAACATGTGTGTGACGAACTTTATATAAGTGTGTATGATGATGTATTCCACTCTTGCTGAAAGGCAAAAACATGTCCACCAGTGTTTCAGGTTTCACACCTATATCAAGTTCATCCCATTGTCTTTGCGACAAGAGTGGAATAACATTCGAAGACAGTTCATGCGCACTCTTGTTGATTCCATGTGCAGGCAGTGTCAGGCTGGTCATATATGGTACATGATATTGAAACACTGTGTCCTCAACATTTGTAATCCAGTGACATTGCTCATTTTGTATATTTTTCAACTTATCCTGCATTAGTCCTTAATGCATTTACTGCTTGTGGTTGACTTCCACCCGGTGCCTCCACCAGACATTCCAGGCACCTCACATGGATCCTTCTTGGTTCCTTACAGATGCTGCAACAGACATTCCAGGCACCTCACATGGATTCTTCTTGGTTCCATACAGATGCTGCAACAGACTATGCCTAGGTTCCCAGCACCTAAGGCTCTTCAAGTCCTCAGTCCTACCCACGCCATCTCTCAAAGCGCCTCCACCGGCGTCTCTACAAGCACCTCTACCAGTGTGTCTATAGGTGCCTCTACAGATGCCCTTACAGATGCATAGCTTGGACTTAGGTGGCACCTCTTCGGTCCAGTCAACCTTATCTCACAGGTCTACCTCACCAGGCGCCTCATGCCGACGCAGTGGAAGCAAGTCTTCTTGCTCTAGATGCCGCTCTCGAAGCCACTCTCCAGTTGTGCGCTCAATTGATTATCGATCTGCTTCGTCAGAGCGTTCCTTTGTCCCGACGTATGAGGGGTCTCTATCGGAGGTCCATTACCACCTTGGTCTGAACCAGGTTGCGGACAGGCCGGCTGATCGTTTAGCTTCGTGGGTAACCTTCCCCGGGGTCAGGCATTGACAAAAAGTACATAGTCTGGTCAGATCCTACATCCGTACCACCTGATCCTGTGATTAAAGACATGGTTGCCATGTTAGATGAGTTTGCTTAGCTCTCTCTTACACCCTCATTCAAGGCGGCTAAGTATCAGAAAAAAGACTTTCCTGTCCACAGGGTTAGAATTAGGAGATAAACATACTGTGTATGTGCTGTGCGTTGGTTCCAAATTCAATTTAGCGCGGTTAAATCTACCAGTAACCTAGCTCTACATTGAAAACACAATATGTTTATCTCCATTCTACCATGATTAAATAAAATGCGAACTCTTTGGTGTTAGCAAATATATACTCAGTGAAGGGGCATGGGTTGAGTCCAGTTTTTTGAGTAGGTTATCGATCTGAATTACGGAATCACCGAACAAAAGAAGGCGGTGTTTATACTGAAGCAGTTTGTTTACACCGTAATACTTCACTCGAACATATGGCATTCATTGAACGCATACAAGCATGGCAACTTGGTAAGCTAACATGAGGTGGGCATCCCTAAAGAAAACAAAGCAAGCTTTGCAAGGCTTTCGCTCTACATTGCACGTCACCATTATAGCGTCATATCGCTCATTGTAGCGCAAAAGATATGACGTCAGTCGTTTATAGAAAAGCTCCAAAATTCCAAGCTCTCTGTTGTCTCCAAAATGTAAATACATTCCCTTTGTAGATTTCTATCATGTTTTCTGCACGAAATGTATTGCCACACATCCTTTGAATATTGTAGTAACCGCATCTGTGCATTTTGTAACCTGTAATTGTAGATATAATTATGTAAATATGTCTACCAACAATGACTGAAAAGAGTGCTATTCTATGAACATTAGCTTCCGCGGTGATGCAGCCATCAAACCAGCTGTTTCAATCAGAGGCGGTTTATTGTGATTTAATAGCCTCTGATTGACCAATCAGAATCAAGTAAATTCCAAATTCATGGTAGAATATAATTTATTTAGGCACAAGCAAATTTTTGCTTGTGGTTTCAAAAGTTACAAGCAAAATAAAAAATCAACAAGCAATTATTTTTCTCAACTCAGAATGTTCAAAAACAATATCAAAGGATTGCATGATCATGACATATGCTGCATATAAATAATGGATGATTATGCATGTTATGACATTCAGATAACAAAGTACTGAAAATCGTGAAATTAATGCGTCTCCAAAAGAATGCAAACGCTGCCCCCAGCCAAAAATGTGACTCGATATGATTGCGACACCAGCCCTCCTCTCAAGCACGAGTGGATATGTTATCTAAAGAAAATGTCCTCTGTCAGGTTTACAGGAGAATTCTCTCCTTAATCCAACCTTACATTTATCCAATCACACATCAAATAGAACTGCTTATTAGCGCTGAGTAGTGTACTTCTAAAACAATACATGCGTGCTGGCTCGTGTCGGCCTTTGGCGCAGTTTCAAAGAACAAAGACACTGTGTTGCGTGGGTGACGTCTGTCTGGACTTGCAGGTGTGATCAGTGATGACATAAGTGAGTAGAACTTGTCTTGACCCCAGCAGTGACAATTCACAGGATGTAATTAGCGTTTGAATGGCATTTTTTATATACTTATTACAAGTGCTGCTCATTAAACAGTGATGTGGAATACATAGTTGTTTGTCTTCAGTGTATGTCTAAGTTGGTATTTCTGCTATCCAAAATGTCTTGATGTTGATATAAATGCGATGTTTAATAATGCGAGCCAAGACCACTCGCATTTTTCGCATTTAATTCATGTTCGCTTTAATTTCAAAATTTACAGTAATTAAATTACTTTCATAAAACATTAACACCAGTCAATCAGAAGCATTTACTGCTGTGATACTCTCATTTACACCATTTCAAGGTCTACCCCTATTGTTTATACACATGAAAGTTATGTTTATCACATTATTTAAATAATGCATTTACAACTTAATTAAGTTTGTTGTAATTATATAAAAAAAGTTAGTTAACACATTCATAATGTCCAGATTACAGACCAAGGAAGCGAAATATTTACGCAAATATAAGATTTCATAAAATCCACTTACCT